CGATCTCTCCGCTGTTCGCGAGTTTCTCGAGAATTCTTGTTCCCCGCGCGTCCAACGTTCTTGTCCCCCCCGGTGTTATAGTCGGCCGTCCGAGGTCTGGAATCCAAAGCCCAAATGACGATGTCACCGGTGCACGACTGTTTCCTTCGCCCGGCCGTATCACCACCACCACCTCGTCCTTTTTTCCTCCCGATGATCCGCGCGGAACGAAAAGCGGGGGGAAAGCATCGATGCACCACCGACGTACTTACACGGGCGCGAGCAACCGTCCTTAACGGAATTATTGCCATTAAGGTCGTTGCATTCCCGAGAGGCCGTCGTGTACGCGCCCCGGCATCCTACCGACGCAGAACTAATGATCTTAATTAACGTTTCGTAACGAAGGTCGTTCGGACTCTCCGCTCCTTTCCACCCTTCGCATCCTCTCTCGAGGCGATCGTTTTCTACCTTCGTATTCTTCCTTCTTCTATTCCCGTTTCCCCTCTTCGCTCTTCTTTCCTCAATTTTTTTACGTCCAGTCCCCTCCCTCCCCTCAATCTTGCCTCCATCTTCGTTTCTCTCGCTACTCTTCTTCCCGCTCCCGAAGGAGAGAAGTCGCGGGTTCCCACTGTCCGTGATTCTCCTCGATTCACCTTTTCTTTTTGCCTCTCTCTCTTCCTCTCTCTCTTTGTCTCCTCGTCCTCTTTCCGTTTCTGGCTTGTTCTTTACTCGTCCCCGTAGACCGTGTCCCGTCTCTGGTATACAACTTGCCACGATGCGTACACAATGGAGATTTAATTATCGTAATGGCCTCGGTGCGTTTGACTTTCCGCGTTTGTACTCCCCCTCCTTCCCCCTTTTGGTACTTTTGGTACTTTACGATCGACTTGTCCTTCTCGACACAGGTACACGATTTTTTTTCGAAGAGAAAATAAAATCTTGAATCTTGCTTTATATTATTATTAATTATCGTTGTTGTTATTGTTGTTGCTTTTTCTCGATCGATCTTGATCGATTCGACCCTTTGATTTGCAGGACCGTTGGAAATCAGGTGGTGATGGATCCGATGCTTATCTGCAAGAAGACTAGGAGGTTGAGGGGCAAGATGGCGGACATCTGTCGCAAAGAGCCTTCGCTGCTGAAGGAGATCGCGAGAGGGGTACAGGTCGGGACCAAAGAATGTCAGTACCAATTTCGAAATCGCAGATGGAATTGTACCACAATCAGGAGATCCCTCAGGAAGATCTTGTTGCGCGGTAAGTGGCGGAATTCGAATTTCGAAAGTCTTTGCCTCTTTCTTAAATTCAATTAAGAAGCAATGTTCGAATTTAAATTTAAGTAACTCGCACGTTACTTGTTCGCTCTCGTGGTATTTAATGAAATGTTTTCAAATTAAATCGGTACCCAAGGGAGGTATATAACGTCAATCGCTCTATCCAGGACGAGACTGTCGATGCTCGATTACTCGAGTTTACCGTCGAGAACACGCGCCATTACTTTCAAATTAACCTCGATGAGGCTATCTCGACCGAGGGAAAGCCGTCTGGACGAGCGGTTTTTGTCGAGACGGTTGCGTAACTCCCCGTTCCATTAATCAAATAAATTATTTACGCACACGTCAAAATTGTCACGATAAACGTTTATGTTGCTCCTCGAAAATCCGTGAAGATATTAACGTTCCTCGGTAATTTCTTCTTCTTCTTCTTCTTCCTCTTCTTCTTCTTCGACTTCCGTTTTGTAAACAGATTTCAATTTAATAATAATAATAATATTAATAATATTAATAATGATACTTTATTACAGAGTTACTGCTTTACACGAATTAAAAAAAACTCGAGTTAACGCGAAACTGTGCGTGAAACAACGCGATCTCGGTTAGAGCTAATTTACGAGCTATTTTACACAATAATTTCGGTTAAATACGTTAAACTCAATGAATCGATCGAACGATCGATTATTTTATCTTGAACGGAGAAAAGATAATATATAATAAAGTTTTGGAATTTTATAAGATAGCAATTCAAAAGCCGCATTTGATTTCATACTCGAATTTCATACGAATGAACAATTCGTTTCGTGGAACTTCTTCTCAGCCGTTATCATCGAGATACGCGATCGGCGAGGGAAAGAATTTGTGGAAGATGATCATCAGGATTCCGTGGTATTTAGACAACCATGAAGATAGAGCGCGTGAACGGTTGCCGAGGTAAATGGAACAAATTGAACGGGGCGGGCAGGGTCGATCGAGGATCCCCCCCCGTGTCCGTAGAAAAATTCTCACGCGGTTGAGTTAGCGTGCGCATTCGAGAAGAGACGGAAGGAGGAGGAGGAGGAGGAGGAGGAGAGCGAACCTGTCCGCGTGGCTCGCTTAGTTACCCGTCCGATGTATTAATTTCGGGTGATCGAGCACGACAACTAAATCGAAGACAGCGTGTCCAATAGGCCGAACTGCTCTCTAGCCCTCGCTATCAGATCGGTACCTTTTGGTAGCCTGACAGATTGACACTGTTCGTCGGATATTAGTGGCAATATGTTCCCTTAATTAAAGGCTTCATTTCTAGGGAGAGGACCGTCCTCGAGGACCGCGTGTCTTCTTTCCTCGTCCTTTTTTTTCTCGTCCTCTCCCTATCTCTCCTCTCTCCATCGAAAGATTATACACGATCGATCGTATCGATCGTGATTCCTGGCGGTTGCCTCTCGATGCGATTCGTCGAGCAAGCCTCATAGCTACGAATGGAATAGCCGAACGATCGATGATCGAATTATATCCGACACTGTCGGCGATGGCTGACAATCGGTGTTCGCTCCCTCTAAGATTGCCGAGATATATATAT